CTAGCTCAAAGTCCGCCCATGTTATTTCCCCATGGTACTTCCCTTCCACGCTCTCCCACCACGTAGAGGCTATCCCTTCAAGTAGCCGTGAAGCGACAGTCAACTTCACGTCCGGTGTGATTTGCATGTCTCTTGATGCATCCTTCACCTTCCTAATCCAATCGGCGGCAACGGTAATGTCACCGGTGCCGTCAAAGGACCTACACCCCAAGGCCCTAGCCTCCTTGAGGTACTTGGAGATCCTCACAACAAAACCTCCTTCACGCCCATCATGTGGCGCCACGGGAGTGGCCCTTGAAGCTCCCCGGCTTCCTTGACCCGAACCACCGCGAGAGCCACGCCTTGCTTGGCGCCTAAGGTCTCTCCTCCGCTTTTCTTTTTGATACCACTCAAGCAATTCGCCCATTTGGGCGAACTTGGCATCACTCTCTTCATCATCATCATCATCATCGGTGTATGTGTCACCCCCATCATACGGGGTCTCCTCATGCTCCGTTTCTGGAACGTAGGTTGAGTCATAGTCTTCGGTGTTGGTTTCATACACCGAGCTCACATGGCCATCACTCACAGTTTGAGCTTGATGACCTCCACGGCTTCCACGGCCTCCCCGGCCTCCTCTCGAACCCCGAGATGCAGCCCGGCTTCCCCTTTGGGATGCTACCGGCGCCTGCCCCCTCGGATTGTTCCTGGTCCTCATTCGCCTGCCCTCCATTTCTGAAAGAAATATGGATGAGTCATTAGACTCCTATAAATGTCAATTGACGGAAGAACGTTATAGACACGTATTGGCCCAAGTCACTACCATACCAATTGTTAAGGGTACCGTCTTAACAATTAGAGGCCTTGCAACTTAAGCACCAATAGTCCTATAAACGTCAAAATACAATGCTCATGGTTTTCGGTAAAAACTCTTTTGCAAAATCTTTTGTGAGAGGTTGATTATATAGTTTAGAACTGAGATGGCTCTGATACCACTTAATTGTCAAGCCCCAGACCGCAATCCAAGCGCGTGTACAACCGCCGTATAACCAAGTGACGTCACCCACGAGTCAACCTCACTTAATTACACAAGGCGTTCGAGAAAACAATTCATCCATACTCAGTAGTAAACATACATAACAACATCACATTTAAACCAATGAATAGCGGAAATATTCAACGGTAAGTCATGGGCCACAACCGGCCAACAACATGGGCATGCAAGCCCCAAAAATAGTTTTATAGTAAAACAAATATCCATGAGCAAGTGTTCGGTAGTTTGAAAGAAAATAAGGAAGCACGAACCACGTCTTCCTGATTTGATATCACCCGTGAGAAGGTGCAAGTAGCAAGCTCTAGCTTCAACCTGAAAATGGTGGGGCCCCCCGAAGGGGTCAGTACAAGTACCGAGCGAGTAGCAGGCTAAATATAGAATAACTAGCGTTTCAAGTATAAGACCCAAACATAGGGTGATACTTAAATAAATAGTCTTTCCCCCAAGTTATGAAATACTTATTAGTATATATATACTTGGAAAATATCTGATCCGTAGATCACCATTTTATTTGGGAAAAATAGTAATAGTCAATATTCTTGACTAAAAACCCCAACTCACCCATATACCTATGAGTGTATAGGACTCCTCCGTGTCCCTATTTGTATATCATAATCTATGAGTTTTAGGATCATAATCCTTGGATACTCCACCGGTTTGTGAGTGTTAAGGACTCATAAGTCCTAGGGTCCTCCACCAAGTTTTGAGTGTTAAGTACTTTTAAGTACTAGGGTCCTCCACCAAGTTTGAGTGTTAAGGACTTTAAGTCCTAGGGTCCTCCACCAAGTTTTTGAGTGTTAAGTACTTTTTAAGTACTAGGGTCCTCCACCGAGTTTGAGTGTTAAGGACTTTAAGTCCTAGGGTCCTCCACCAAGTTTGAGTGTTAAGGACTTTAAGTCCTAGGGTCCTCCACCAAGTTTGAGTGTTAAGGACTTTAAGTCCTAGGGTCCTCCACCAAGTTTGAGTGTTAAGGACTTTAAGTCCTAGGGTCCTCCACCAAGTTTGAGTGTTAAGTACTTTTTAAGTATTAGGGTCCTCCACCAAGTTTTCCTAGGATCAACCTCCTATCAACCTAGATAGAGTCTATATCATCCTTAGTTACTCATAACTAATCCAATACATAAATCTTATGTATCACAATCCATGCAAAGCCATGCATTTATATAAATGTATAATTAACTAACATCAACCGATATTAATTAATCCATCATCCATCGGTCAACGTTGTCGTTGACCGCCAATTGAAGCCTTGTACATATCAACTTAATCATCATATAATTAAGTCAATAATACTCATTTGAGCTTCTTTTACACTTCAAGCTAATGTGCATTTTATATAATTTCTCATATCATATTTCATGCATAATCAATTAATTCTTCTCATACAACTTGATAATGTTGGCTAATCACATGTTTAAATATCTTTTAAACATCATTTTGAACACATATAACATTTATTTAGGTAATCTCATAGTTAACCCAAAAGTTATAAGATATTAAGCCGTCCACTCACCTTGAACTAGCGTTAAGAAGTTCTACACTTCTTGGTTGGACTCCGGTGAAACTCCGGCAACTTTTGGTCAACTCCGGCGACAACTCCGGCGACTTTTCCAACTTTGTGAAATCACTTGAAATACCCTTTACAAGTTCCTAACAAGGTTTTATAATCATAAAACCCATATCAATACAAATAACCTCAAAAAAGGTTATTTTCCGGTGAACCGGTCGTTTTGGCTTCTAAGTCCGTTTTTGGACGTAGAACCACCTTCCAACCCATAAATCCATACCTATCACATGTAGAACCCTCTTAAGGATTCTTTACATGATATATATCTCATATGGTAGGAGAAGAATAAAGAAGTAGTTATAATAAGGTCATTACCTTAATTATTTCACACTTTTAGCACTTTAGCTCCTCTTTGGGTGATTCTTCCTTGATGATTTCTCTTCAACAATGGAGGGAGGAGGATGAGGAGCTTCCTTGCTCTTGGTTGCTGTGCCTTGGCCGAAATAGAGAGGGGAGAGATGGATGGGGATGGACTTTTGTCTCATTGATCTAATGAGTGCAAAAATGGAGGTCCACCTAGGTACTTTTGATGCCATTCCCTTCTTATCAACATCCTCCTCCCATGTTCTCTTCATGCACCAGCCGACCCTCCCTCAATTTTGAGTGGAAAAATCGTGGGTTGGCCCCCACTCATGTGGGAGGTCAACCCTTTTTGTCCCGAAGTGTACAATTGGTCCCGAAAGTTGTATTTTTCGGACTGTTTTAAATATATTTTATTTTATCGGGTCAGATAAAATATATTATGGGCTCTTACTCATTATGACATGTATCATGAATATACATTCCCCAACTTTAATTTATAAGTCTCCGAAATTCAGTTCGGGCTGTTATCTGTTAAATTACCAGTACCGGTAATTTTGGCTTCTTTTGACCAATCGGTCAACTCCGGCCTTTCCATGGCCCAAATGAAATATCCACCACTATATATTTATTATCTAGACCAAGATGAATAAAATATATGGTCTCGGGAAAGTCGGGCGGCCCCCGCTCCCAGTGTGGGTCCCACGTGCAATTTACTATTCACGCGAAAGAAATAATAAAAATTTACAACCCCGTAAATTTATAAATCATTCCATAAGGTTTATTACATCATTTACGTAAAAGTAAATACATTTGGGGACGGTGTTACATTATGTATGCCTGCACCCCTGCACTCACAAGTAAAATTGCAATAAACTTAAAATAAGTAAAGACAATTAGGAATCGATCGGTTCTATATAGTATATTCCATTCCTGCTAATTAACTACTTTATGTAGTATCTCAAAAAAGTACGTACCATTCTATCAAATTAATCTAGCCTAGTTAGTGATCCATGTCAGCCAGAGAAGGGTGACCTAACTAAGGACAAACAAAATCATATTGATACATCAAGTAAGTTTACAAGTAAAGTAATGCATAGATGAATTGTTTTTGTATATAAAGCTAGTCATGAAAAATACATATGATTGTGTTTTGTTATTAGACCAATACATCGATATTACTATTCCATTGGACAATTTATCAAATAATGGAAGCCATATCTGCCAATTAAAGTAAACAAAATTAAACACATCTATATAGAAATTCATAAAATAAAAGGCAATCCTCTCACAACAAACTAATTAAAGAGTCGTAGACACTGACTCTAGTAGAAAATAGACCAGTTAAGCATCCATATCCAAACAGACATACTCTCAAGTATAAATTAGACAAGTTAAGCATCCATAGGTATGACTGTAGTACAAATGACCACATCAGTCGAGTAGACATACTCTCAAGTACAATTAAGCAATCATGAAAAAGTAGTAGAAATACCGATTTATTCTAACAGACGGAAATAGGATGATTTTGGAAATTTGACTGCGGAGAAAATTTGATGGAAGATTTGCGATGGCACAAATCCGCAACGATCGAGGAGTCCGAGGATGATCTTCTACCTCGTGTGATGGCTAATAATGAGTCCACGACGATCGAAAGCACCGATTGAAGAACTTAGGTCTGCTCGATTTGCTCCGGCCAAAAGCACCGATTAGTTTGCACCGTGCATTCTCTGTTTTTTTTGTATTTGAATTCCTTTTACTTTTAAAAAATAACTCTCTAGGCATTTTATTTCTTTGAAATGCCGTCCAGGAATTTTTAAAACTAAAATGTGTCGGCAAATGAAAAGTGAGTCAACAAAACAAGCAGTTACATGCTTTAATTTTCTCTTAAGTCATAAGGACCAATTTTTATACGTGAATATTATTATGTAAATTCATGAGTTGTTATCTTGTCAAACAAAAGTGTTAATATATGTTAGCTATTATAACACTTTTTAGTGTGTCAACAAATGTGTGTGTCAAGAAATGTAATATTTCTTGTAGAGTTACCCGTAGTATTTGAATTCATCATATATGTGAAATGATTTTAATTATAACGAACTCATCTATAACCTCTCTCTTTTCAAATTTGTTACTCCCAAATAAGAATAAGAGTTTCCTCCCATTTTCCTCTTTCATTTTGAGAACATTCTCTTCCCCTTCCCTTCAAACTTCCAAACATACCCTTAGGGGTGATGTATGTAAAAGGAAAATTGCAAATCTAGTAGGGTATGATTTGAGACCAAAATGAGTTGAGGTTTTTAACTTTCGTCACAAACTTTCTCGCAATCAAGATGAGCACGTACTTAACAAATTGATTTACTCCCCGTACATGTGAGTCTCTTCTCCTTTCATCTTTTATAATAACTCAGCACTTACGTTTTTGTGTTGATTGCGTTACATTTTAGGCCAGGTACGTAATTCCAAGGATGAAAACCAGCAGTCATCAATAAATAAGGCAACTGATCGATCGAGAGAGCCGCTTCATATACTGTCACTCAATTGGTTCGGTCTATATATATCTAAACACGTGCCATGCATTTGTGATTCCCTTAGGTTTGATAAAAAAAAAAAAAAAAGTGGTGATATAATGGGCAGTTCTGGTCAAAGTAGCAATATCATCAAAAACCACGACTTCAAAGGTGGGTTACAAAAGTGGTACGCAAATTGCTGCAAAGCCTTTGTGGATAGTAGTAGTGGCTGTGCTTATGCTGTGATCACGAATAGAAGGGAATCGTGGCAAGGCCTAGAGCAGGAAATCACTGGTCGTGTCTCGAAAGGTCACATTTATTCGATCCAGGCTTTTGTGACGGTCTCCGGCAAACTTCCGGCGGTGACTAGCGCAGTTCAGGCCACCCTCAGGCTGTCATACAAACGTTCCGCTACGTGCTATCTTTCTATCGGGAGGTATACAATGCATTAGAGAATCTAAGTAATATTTTCATTAGAATTTTTTAATAGCAATTCTCAAAATTGTTTTCTCACGTTAGAAAACAGTTTACTCCTATTTTTTCATATTTTCTTATATTTGCATCCATTGCCTTGCCTCCAACTAACAAATTAAAAAGAATCTAATTGATATTTTTTGTGGTAAATATTGCAGAAAGACCGTTAAGCCGAACTGCTGGGAAGCTCTGGAAGGCACCTTTTCACTGTCCACAAATCCTGACCAAGTCATCTTTTACCTGGAAGGTGCCGAACCTGGCGTAGACATACTCGTTAAATCTGTCACCATTTCGCCTTCCTCTCCGGCCCTAAAATCTGACCATACAAAAGCCAGCGTACGTTGCTATTTCACGTGACAAATTTCCCTGGGTTTTTAGTTAAATTCTCAAGTAGGGGTAAATCAATGTAGACACATAAGGCACACGTTTTATGTTCATATATTCATAATTTGATTTCACACATATTAAGGAAATAAATTTACAAAACAGTTAATTTTATCGTAGATTGATCTGTTTTGGCACTGTTTTTCACCGTTTTGGCCTGTAGGTTTTGCACCGTTTTGGCACTGTTTTGGTGTAAATTTGTTTGTCAACTAAGTGTGTACTTGTTTGTCATATCCAAAAAAGGAAAGTGGGAACTTAAATATAGAACGGAGGGAGTAGTTAAAATTCTAAAGGGAAAATTCACAAAATAGGAGTAAAAGAGTTTGAAAATTTCAAAAGGCCTGTCATATTTTTATTCCCAAAATAGTAGTAATTATTACCAATTTTGGAAAAAATTGTCATATTTAAAGTCTGGTACTGCCAAAACATGACAGTAGTTAATCCTATTTTGGGAATAAAAAACATTATAATCCTATTTTGGAATTTACAAACGTTTTTAGTAAAAATTTCCCAATTCTATAAAATATGATTCAATTAATTCTACGTATGTTTATCCCAAAAATAAGACTTTTTAGTTCTTTTAAAAGATTAAAAGAAATTCTAAATAATAGTTGATCAGGAGACCTATATGAGAATTAAACGCACAATAATACTCCTACTTGATGATGTGTTGCTTTTGCTACTACGTATGATTTATCTTATTTAGAGCTAGATTTTTCTCTACTGAATAGCTGTCATTATATTACTATAATTGCTAGGCCGCCCTTTTTAATTTACAACATCTACCTCTAGAAAGCAACTATCAAGAATAAAGCTGTGGACTTAATACAGATCAATTCTGATTTATAGGGCCTTAGTATAAATATTATTTCTTATATGGTTATTTTTATAACCTTCTATAAATGGAATATATAGTATAAATAAAAGCTACTGCTATTATTAAAAAGTAATCAATTCATTCATCATATCATTCTCTACTCTTAATTGTAAACCCTAATGTTCATCACGACCATCTTCTTTTCTGAGTTTTGAACTCTTCGATTAATTCAATTCATCAGCTTGATAGTTGAATCTCAATAGCAACAACCACGTACTAGCTGCCATTGCTAGGCGGTTAGCCATCATTGAAGTCTAAGGGACAAAGACCTAAATATTACTTAAACATAAGGAGTATAAACTTTACTAGTATATGACTATTTATATGTTTGGATGTCATAAATGACTATAATATCATACGGAGTATAAGATATGTGACAAATGAGTGGTTCATAATAGTTTCAAAGAGCAAGACTAGGTGTATCATGCATCATTTTAGGGAAAAATCATACTCCGAATGTAATTATATATTGAGAAAACACGTGTCTTTTAGTAATATTAGTGATAACTTTCACAAAAGTAACTCTAAATTCCAATAAGGATTCATAGCTAATCATAGGAGGCACGAAAGTAATTGAAACTCTTATTTTGAGAATTTAAAACATGTGTTCTTATTTTGGTATTTTCATTTTAGGGAAATACTTTTTAATTATTTGTTTCATATGCACGTAGGATCAAAAGAAGAAAGAAGGGATTGAAAGGAAACATGAAAAACATCATCTTCAAGTTGCTAATAATATAATACTTAACTATGACTTCCACCAAGGTTTTCTTGGGTGGGAAACCAATGGTTGTCAAGGAAACGTGGTGAAAGGAGATTCTGGCAGCTCATACGCTGTCATTACAAACCGTGGGATAAATTACCACGGCTTGCTGCAAGATATCACCAATCGTGTTTGTCAAGGTTGCCCTTATTCAGTGGAAGCTTGCGTTAGAGTTTCAGGTAACATTGTGGGATTTACAGATATCCAAGCCACACTCAGATTGGAGTACAAAAACTTGGATACTCAATATCACTTTATTGGCAGGTATTATCCCGTATTTTTTTTTTGTAGTGACATATGCATTCTTAATTAATCTTTTTCTTATGTTTATATAATATACTAACCTTTCATTTATTATCAGTACTCATCATTTAAACCTTATGACACATATTAGATCATGCACCCAATTATAATTAAGCTAGTACCTTAATTTAAAAGATTTGCAAGTTTTTTCTCTAATTTTCAGTTGTGTCGTTTTCAGATTTTATCATGTAACTAATAAGTCTATGAGAGAATTTGCTAAATAAGACTAAAAGAAGATAGAATCGCAAAAATAGGACATAATGTTTGAAATTGCTTTAATAGGACTAATTATTTGTATTTAGACAAAAATAGCCTTCTTAATTCAATCTTGGAACATATCACCGCCTCCCACACCTAGATGCACAGATAAAGAGGCCATTTGTGACAGAGAAATCCCAGATGCGCAGAACCATCTGATCTTCCAAAAGCCGCTGCTCGTGGATACCACACTGCCGCCAGTCTTCTCCAATCTCCGGCGACCGCACATACCTTCTAATAAGTCTATGAGAGAATTTCCTAAATAAGACTAAAAGAAGATAGAATTACAAAAATAGGACATAATGTTTTAAATTGCTTTAATAGGACTAATTATTTGTATGTAGACAAAAATAGCCTTCTTAATTCAATCCTGGAACATATCACCGCCTCCCACACCTAGATGCGCAGATAAAGAGGCCATTTGTGACGGAGAAATCCCAGATGCGCAGAACCATCTGATCTTCCAAAAGCCGTTGCTCGTGGATACCACACCGCCGCCAGTCTTCTCCAATCTTCGGCGACCGCACATACCTTCTAATTTGTCTGATGAATTAAAGGCCGAATAATTTTCTTCATCTTCTCTTCGATCTCTTCTCCACTCTTTCACCCTCCTCTCCTCTCCTGTACGAATTATTGTCTCCTGTGCGATGAAGTCACATACCTGGTCCTTTTGTTTTTATTTTTTATTTATTTATAGTTAAAAACTTTCAGAATTCTTTAATTTTGATTACTTTCAAAAATGCCACTTTTATAATTTTTTGAATGTCAAAATTATTGGTTATTTTAAAAAACTGCCACGTTTATGTCATTCTCGCATATCATGTGGCATTCCTCATGGAGGTCTGCACAGAGTCATTGGAGGGCAGATCCTTTATTTGTCACTTTTATGTCATTACAATATTTGAAAACGTCATATCGAGAATGTCATATTTCTAAACGAACAAAAACACAAGGATGTCATTTGCTAAAGTGACAGTTTCAAAGAAGAAATTGACATTTTCAGAATAATAATGTCACTTTCATGACATTTTCAGATTGTCATCTTGGTAATCATAATGCTAGGAACGTGACATTTTTTTCAAATAACCAATAAGTTTTACATTCTCATATTATACAAGGGACATTTTACTGAATAAATACAATTCAAATCCAAAATATCCAAATTAAGAAATAAAATTCAAATCTAAAAAATCCAAAGAAGAATAGAATAGAGGACCAAAAATTTGAGGAGGATTAGAAGAAGAAAAATATTATAAATGAATTAGTAAATCAGTTTTGGAACCTTGTTTTAATTTCTCTTCCAAAATCTCTAAATCAAAATAATTTTCTTAGAATCTCAAAAGTAAGAAAGTGTTAAAGTGAAATTAAAAATAAAATAAAATAGGAACAAGAGGACCAGAGTCAGGGGCGGAGCTAGGGGGTGCCCAGGCTAGGCCTTGGCCCACCCAAATTTGAAAAATGTCAATATTTTTAGTGTAAAAAATTTCGTGTAAATTTTTTTCCAATAATATTCTTTGTACCGACCCAGTCCAGCCCATTGTCCTGACTACGCCCCTGACCAGAGTCGTACAGGAGAGAAGTGAGGAAGAGAAGAGAAGGATAGAAGAGAAGGAGAGAAGGAGAAGAGAAAGGAGATGAAGAAAATTACCGAGCTTTATCGGAGCTTTAGAGTCGGCGATGGAGTCGGCGCATCTGGGTTTCTTCATCACATATGGGTCTGCACATATAAGTGTTGGAGTCGGTGACATATTCCAGGGATTAATTAAAGGAAGGGCAAAAATGTAATCAGTAGTCCTATTTAGGGAATAATAAATTTTAAGTCCTATTTTGGAGTTTTAACTATGTTTTAGTCCTGTTGTCCTATTTTGGAGTTTTAACTCTGTTTTAGTCCTGTTTAAGACAATTTCTTTTTTTTTTATCCATTTTAAGGACTATTACTAGGGGGAAACATCCCCAACATAAGTTTTTTTTAACGAAAATAAGTGTATTTGTTACGTGAAAAAATGGGCAAAGTAAAATAACATGACTTGATTTCTAATTATCCCGCACTAATTCTAGCTCAACCTACTTGCAGGAAACCTGTTTCGACAAACAATTGGGAAATATTGGAAGGCACTTTCACCTTGTCTACTAAACCGGATAGGGTATTGTTTTTTCTAGAAGGGCTTTCTGGTGGAGTAGAAATGCTCGTAAAATCAGTCATAATCTCATATGTCTTCCCGTCCCTTGTTATGTGATGTGAGGAGTGGATTAAATTCTAGACTTTCTCCTATTTTATCCATGTCTTCTTTAATTGGAATTACTTTATATAGAATTGCCCAAGATATAGTCCCTAATATATTTTGAGGATAATATAGAACAAGTTTCTAAAGTTCATTCCATGTTATTGGCGTATTGCTTAGTTATTTAGTTGCAATGGCGGCCAGACCCGTTTCCAAGAGGTAAAGTGTCCCACCCAGCGGCGGACACAGAAATTTTCGATAGCAGGGGCGGCAGTACAAAAATATACATACAAATATACATACATTAAAAATTTTGGGATAAATATACTTAGAATTTTTTTTGGAGGGCCAGCAGCCCCATTTGTCACCCCTCTGTCCGCCTCTGGTCCCACCGTCCCATATTTGTCATGTATAACTACTTCAAAATCACCCCGTATTAAAAAAAAATTATAAAAAATAAATACGTACAATAATGGTAAAAGAGAAAAAAGAGAGTAAATAATTACCTTTTGTCTCATTTCATTTTCAACCCAATGAAATCAGTGGAATAAATATGAAGAGCATTCTTTTTGATCAGCCAATGTTAAAGTTAAATTATGTATTCAGAAATTACATTAAAATCTCTTCAAAGCTAAGTTGAAGCTCCAAATTAAATATAATTAAAATTTGACATTCTACTGATGTATGGAATTGTTTGATCAAGAAAAGTTAATTTTGCAAATCAATTTGGGAAGAAGGTAGTATTAGATAATTAATAAATTTAAGATAAATTATAGTAGTACAAATTTAAATAATTAAACAATACATCGGTCCGATTCCATGCTTCCTATAAACTAGCAAAGACGGTGAAAATATGAAGAGACTAGTCAAAATAATGGTATAAAATATAAATTTAAATAATTAAACCATACTTCGGTCCAGTTCAATATGGTACCGGTTCTCATTTTATGAGAACCGGTCATGACATTGTTTAGAACCGATACGGTCCAGTTCGGGACAAAAAATTTGAGATCCATTTCAAACCCCATTTTTCGATCATGTACTATATCGGTTCGGTTTGATACCATGTTGGTTCGGTATTTTTTTCCCACCCCTAACATAAAAGACCATGTGCTCGATCAATAAGACAGTTCGAACTACCAAATTACTACGTATATTTTTACAATGTGCACACCCCAAGTATGATTAACAAATTAAACACTATAATATCGGGTACGTGTGTGTATATATAGGGGTTAGTTCCTGTGAGAACACCCTCTTAGGAGAGGGAAAAAGATTAAAATTCAACCATTGACTAACCTTTAATAACTCTAATCCGATGGCTTAGATGAATTCTGAAATAGAGTAATTTTCGGAGGGGATTGGGGTTTTAAAAATTTAACGTGCAACTATATACTTATATTAAGGGCATCATGGTAAAATTTTTCATGATGGATATCACGCATGATGCATCATAATAGGAAATCCTCCTAAAAAAGTGGATAGCAATTCATACGTAATAACTTTTTCCATAATTAGCATCATTTATTGTAAAAAATACTTTCTCTTACTTTATTTTATTTCCAAATTTAGGATATTCTAGCATATAATTAAGATAATTATTTTGAACAAAGCTTTCTTTTGTAATTCGTGCATTAATTTTCTTATTAATCATTTTTTTCTTTTCAAATGTAATATTCATCAATGAGTCAAAATGATTTATTTATTGCATTCCAACATTGAAAAGATGCACTTTTATTCGAAACTGTATATAACATCAATTCAGTTAAATGTTTACACATATTAGGTGTAGAAGTGCACTTATTGTAATCTAAATGTGCATTTTAAGTATACACAAAAGTGCATTATATTATTACATTTTTGAAGTTTATACATTGACACTTTTTTACAAAACAAAATGCACATTTTTACAAAATAAAATGCACTTTTATAATGTGCATTGTAACTACATAAACAAGTGCACTGTTATATTACACACTTTCTAAAACTTTAATTTACAATGATTCTTTTTACAAAATCAAATATAATGCACTTTTCTTCCAAAAGCCCCATGGTAATTCCATTATAATGATGTCTCCTAATGTCACGTGTGTCTGAAAAAAAACAATGAAAAGTGCATGAACAAAGTATGATACACCTAGAGTCGCTGCCATGGACTGCAGGCGTGGTTTCCATGGTCCCTTGTGTGGATGAAGATGCAGGATTTTTGTTTCTCTGGCCCCAATTTCACTGGTTTCTTTGCCTCCCGGAGAAGCAGACTTTCGCCCTGCCTTCACAAACGTAAGATAAAATTGGTCCGGAATGGGTAAGGACTTATGTGCAATTAATGTAATTTTAATAAAAAAGCTGAGCTGGATTTTATTATCAATAAAATGCTGCCAAGTGTGGGATGCACTAAAACATCCCTCAATGTATATGAACCATAAAATTTTCCTTTGTTTTTCTATTTTCCCTTTTATTTTTCTATTTTCGTTTAAATCTGTGCCAGCTGTACCTACGTGCTCCTTTATAAGCTGGCTCAGTAAAATTTGGATTAATTCCCTAACTATGAGTAAAACATAGCCAAAATGCAAAAGTAGGAGTCTAATGTTTCATATGCTTTAATAGGAGCAAAAATGGCTGGACAATAGTACCCTTAATGAAGTGTCTAATTCGATTATTAAAAATGAAAAATAGAATACAGTGTTGCACGAGCTAATGGATCGCAAAGTGCTCTTGCGTTACTACCATTCCACAAGTGGCGGCCCAACCCACTGCCGACATCAGCTTCCGTCGCCGCCAGATGTCATCGTCACCCACCAGATACCGCCGTTGTCGTTTCGGTGCCGTCACATGTTGCCGCCGCCGTGTTGGTGCCACAACATGTTGCCGCCGCACTATTGATGCCACCAAACACCTCTGCCGCCGAACGCCGCTACCATCACCGCCAGATCCTGTGTTATTGTCTCGTCGTCCGGTCACACCCATGCCGCTTCCGGCACCACCACTTTTGGTTCCACCATACCAAATCTTAGATATGGAAAGAATATCACAAAATGTCATCTTACCATTTTAATGTCATCTTAAAGATGGCATTATTTTTATTAAAATAGAGCGTCATTTATTTTGCCATCGTCACTATTTTCATGGTTTATATTGCCCAAATTATGAGTTTAGTGCCAAATAAATGGCATGAGAACAATATTTCTAATAGGAAAAATATGGCACTAATTATATTGTGCTCCGTATTTGTCATCCTAACGTCATAAATTGACACTATTTATTTCAATGATTTTTTCACATCGAAAATATGGCATTATTAGTATAAATATGGCATTATTAGTATTTTATTTGCAAAAAAGTATTCCCTCCGTCCCATTTTGGTTGTCTTACTTTCCTCTTTGGGTTGTCCCAAAATGAATGTCGTGTTTCCCTTTTTGGCAATAAATATGTGGTCCATATCATTTCATTTTATTCTAAACAAATCCCAACCACGTACAACTATTACTTTTTCAACCACTTTATTAATAATTGTGCCAAACTAAAAGAAGATAACCATTATGGGACAGAGGTAGTAATATTTTCATCTTAATATTATAAAATTAATCTTTTAATATTATAAAAATTACATTAAAATAGTGAATATATCACTTTCAGATTCAAATTAGAAAATCAATTTGAAATTTTACAAAACATTGCCATCGTGAAAACGTTATGCCATAAAAAATAATATTATTTCCATTACTGTATAAGATTTCATGGCACTATAAATTATAATACTACTGAGTATTGTTTTGTTGCCATTTTCAGATTGAAAAAACTTAGAAAAAGTAGTGTTATTTTTTAAAAGTAGAAAAATAAGAAGTGATACAAAAAAGAGAAAATTGCTGTACGGGAGACTAAATCATACACGTTTTATCAAAGTAAGACTCCTTTATGTTTTTCTCATCCGTGTGACTTATTTAGTACTGTTTCAGGAAACTCTAATTGTGACCTTCCAACTTTACCCTTCTATTTCATTTTAAAAACATCCCCAATTTCTCCGTCTCTTTGCCCTCATATCAACTGGCTTGACATCGACACATCTGCTACCTCTAGTCGGACCTCAACACCCGAGTGTACTGCTTGGGAATCAACAATTATAGCTCCATCGAGACTCAGATTTCCAGATTCCAAACAGAATCATTCTATGGAACCATTTAATGGATGTCGACGATTTTACAGAGGGCTTAGATTGCCTATATTGCTTCATTGCGGAGTTTTCGACAACCTCTCGATGTCATTTCGTGATTAGATATAGTGAATTGTGTGTGTGTGTCTATATATATATGTGTGTGTGTGTATTGTTTTATGATACCTACTCTGCTATTGAGCTATTATCAGAATTTTTTGTCTATTTAATGACTACTTACTGTCTATGTATTATCTGCTATTGAGCTATTAGTAGAACTTATTGTCTGTTTACTGACTACTTATTTTCTATGTATTGTCTAGTGTTTGCAAGCTTGATTTTGAATCTGGTTTCTTCAAAAGTTTTGCAGAGTACTTGGTGGTCTTGTTAAAATATGAAATAGAAGTTCGAATTTGACAAAATCAATGTCCAAAATCAGAAAAGAAGGAGTGAGGAGGAGGAGTAGGAGGAAGAAGAAACCTCTGACGGCAGCGGCCGATGAAGTCGATCAGTGACGGCGACGGTGAAGTCGATCAGTGGTGATGGCCCAATCGATCAGCGGCAAGCATGTGAGCCGGAAAGTAAGGACGACTCCGGGCAGCGCCTCCAAGTGATAAAGACTCGGGAGTGGCGGTGTTCGAGGGATTGCAATCAAGCTTTGAGGGGCGCATGACTGGCGGCGTTCAAGGAATTTCGCAAGGCAGAATCTGCGATGAATTAATTTTGCAGCGGCGTGTTTAATTTCAGTAGGCATTTGCTATGTAATTAAAGATTAGGGTTATTATGGTCATAGTAGGTATGGTTTAGTCTTACGCTGATTATTAGTCTTAGTTTTAGAAATTTAGTATGATTAAGTCTTATATGAATAATTTCCCCTACAAAAAACATATCTAAATCGCTGGGTTATCACATTTTCCAATCCAAAATTTTCGTCTCTTAAGTAGAATTTTGTAGTTAGATTCTCAATCAAAAGTACTCCGTAACGAATTAATCAGTGGAAAATAACAAAGAAATTGATAGGCCAAGAAAAAGAGAGGAGAAGAGTGAGATTTCTAGAAGGGGAGGAGGAGAGACCAGGTCTGTTGACTCATCTTGTTCCGCTCCAGTGTGCCACGAAGAGAAATTTGTCAAATCCGCTAGATCCAGATGAGGAAATCAGTTTGTGAGAGCAGAAATTGTAAGATAAGAAATGGGAAAACGTGAGAAGGTAGAGGAGATGAGAGTGAGGGCGTGAGGAGCGTGAGTGCGTGACTAGAGGATAAGAAAGAACGGACGGAAGAAAGGGTATAATTGGAAGAAGAAACGGTAACCTATTTAATAACTCTTATTTAGGGAATAAAAAATTTGAACTCCTATCTAGAAACTTATCTTATGTTTTGCTCCTATTGAAGGCGATTTCTTATAAAAATTCTGGTAAAACGTAGTCAAGAGTCGTCACAAATATGACTACATTGTTTTAAATTCATTAGTAGGACTGATTATGTATATTTGGACAAATTGCTAAAATAGTAGAACCCCGTAGATCTAGGATTCGCTAAAATCAATAAAGAGACCTTGTTGTCAAATACGGAGTATGAATCAAACCTTTGACATTTTAACCGATTTTTTATTCTCAATAATAATAATAATACTCCATCCGTCCCAAATTATTTTGCAAAGTCAACCTTTTTTGGTCAACCAATAATAAAAGTCGATACTCGGTATCGATAATTAATTCAATTTTTAATTATTAAAATTTATATATTTAGAAATTACATTAAAATCTCTTCAAAGTTGCAAAGTTCAAATTAGAATATAATTAAAAATTGACATCCTAATTAAGCGAAAAAATGAAATTGTTTGATCAAGAAAAGTCAAATTTGCAAATAAATTTGAGATGAAGTTTATAAAACTATAACTCCCCATTCACGCGAGTCTCTTAATTCCTCTTTGATCTTCTATTCTTCATTTGTTTTTTGTCTTGATTGCGTTATCGTTACTTAATTGTTAGGCCAGGGAATCCCAACGGGTCTTTTAGTTTTAAGGACGTAAACCAACAGTCAGACATTCGTTGAATTGGGTCTATATATATATGTATACTACGGCCAAAGTAGTCGCTTGTGATTCTCTTCCATCAAACAAATGGGCAGTTCCGGTTCCGGCCAAAGTATCAATGTCATCAAGAACCACGACTTCTCTGAAGGTCGGTTACAGGAGTGGTACCCCAATTGCTGCAAAGCCTTCGTGGTCAATCCAGTAGATAGTAGTAGTGGCTGTGCTTATGCGGTGATCGGAAATAGAAAGGAAACATGGCAGGGCCTGGAGCAGGACATCACTGGCCGTGTATCCAAAGGTACAATTTATTCATGCCGGGCACTTGTAAGAGTCGCCGGCAAACTACCGGCGATGGCTTCTCCAGTTCAGGCCACCCTCAGGCTTACGTATAAACATTCCGTTACGTGCTATATTTGTATCGGAAGGTATACTTAAAATCTTGAATTATTTTTTTATTCGTTTGACTCAATTCACATCATAATTATAAACCGCGCGTATACTTCTTCTACCTTTCCATGAATCTACCATATATATATACCAAGTGTTAATTAAGTTTCTCATCCTTCAAGAATAATTCTTAAATTAAACTTTTTTCATAATTTAGATTCAAATTAAACATGTACGTAGTATATTAGTAGTACTTTCATTTATTCTTTATAAAGATTAATGCCGAACTGATCATGTATGTATTCAATTTCATGTGCAGATTTCATATACTTTACGGGTATAAGGTATTGGAATGGGATGTTTTCTTTTGAATGAAATCCATCAAAAATATTCAACTAACCTTATTTAACAAGACTATCATGCTATGCTAATTAACTTAGTATATCATATAAAATAAATTGATAGGGAAAAACTAGAATTAAAACACATATGTAGTACTCCCTCCATCCCACTAACAATGGGACAAGCTAGAGGAAGTGACACGTGAATTAATAAAAAGTGATTTATGTGTAGATATTGAATTGATCAAGTAAGAATAAAGTAAGAAAAATTTAGAGCCACAACCTTGACCAAATTTGGTATAGAACAATCTTAGTGGGACGGATCCAAAAGACAAAATGAGACAATGTTAGCGGGACGGAGGGAGTACTAGTGTGTTACATATCATATATGTGAAATATATACGGTTATTCCAGTAATAAAAAATTTCCATTTATATTTAAGAATCACCATCAGCTCTTTTAGTATACCCCTAAATGGCCCTAATAATTTTCTCTTACATTTTAGACAATGTTGAAGCATTCATTTCAGGTCTTGTATCTCTTATACGGAGTACTAATTAGCCTCCATCTAACAAATTAAAGAAAGGTGAATGTATGTTACAGTAGCTATTTAAAACAAGGAAGTATCATACATACGTATTATGATGTAGTGTCATTTACCATCGTATTTCATTGATTGAAATTTCTTCATTTATTCATGCATATTTATATTATTTAATTTTATTATTTAAATTTCATCATTTTGTAAATATGGTCCTTTTAAATATTGCAGGAAGTTCGTTACGCCGAACTCTTGGGAAGCCCTAGAAGGCACGTTTTCGCTGTCCACAAATCCTGAACGTGTCGTCTTTTATATGGAAGGCCCCAAACCCGGTGTAGACATACACATTAAATCTGTCTCCATTTCACCTTCCTCTCTACCCCTAAAATCCGATCACACAATTGCCAGTGTACGTTGTTACTTCAATTCCTCATCATGCAAGCAATTTTGAGTAGTACAAACATACCACGCGACCAAAATGATACATGCATTTTCCTTTTCTATATATAGTTAATTCTCGAAGTAGGAGTACGTAATGGAGTAAATCAATACTCCTTCCATGGTTTATAACTCTACCATACAATTTTTACTTTATTAATCCTTGTATCGACCAAACTTGATAAAGTTATTAGGGACGGAGGGAGTATTAAAGTGCAAAAATAAGGTATCTGCTCAAAATAAGAGTATTTCATCGTTTAAGTTTCAAAGTGAGCCAGAAATGTGTTCCCCCAAAATAAGACTGATTTCAAAAGTAAAAGAATAACAACTACCCTTAAGAGGAGTTCATGAGTCCAATATTGGGAATTAAACAAACAAGACGCGTGCTACTCATTTCAAAATATTTTTTACTGTTAGTCATATTTAAATATTTTCTCTCAAAAATATTACTGAGTACATGTGAGTGGATTAAACGTCCTTTTAATTTTCAACTTGTACTTATAGAAAACAACCACCACCTGCTGCCGTATGTTGGCTCCTCACCTGGCCACCTCAACTCCTCAAGTGAGGTTTGTAAACACTAGAAAAGTTGACTCTAGCTAAATTCGACGGAGTAATAGAAATTGATAAATCTTAACCGTAAAGTTACGTTAGATAAAGTAATTGAAACTCATATTTTTAGATCTTAAAACATACTAAGTATAAAATTAAGTTGACAGGTGTAACTAGACTGGCGACCTAAACTCGATCCACTCTAAATTTCAATTTGATTTAAATTATTGAAGTAAAGAAATCATTGAAGGGAGGTGACAATTCCGGTACTCATTTAAAAAATAGGGTACCATACCTACCATTCATTTGATTGATCCAACTCATTATATCATTTTTAATTTAGATTTAAATAATTCAACCGCATCATTCTGATTGGTCCAAGTAGACAAAGTAAGGTATGATACCTTAAGGGAAAGGTATGGTAGGTACCTTAAGGGTATCATAGAATCTACCTTGAATTGATCCAGCCCGATATATTGCGCTGCAGACTACGCTAGTGTCCGTTTAATTGTCTAAATTGGCATTTTCTATTTCGGGAATTTTCTTTTTTTATTCCATATTGCATATGTATATGGATTCGAGCAGGATCAAAAAGAGAAAGAAAAGATTGAAAGGAGACACGGTCATCATCTTCAAGTTGCTAATAATATAATCCTGAACTATGACTTCTGCCAAGGATTTCTTAGGTGGGACACCAACGGTTGTAAAGGACATGTGGTCAAAGCAGATTGCGGAAGCTCGTATGCTGTCATTACAAACCGCACGCAATTTCACCATGGCTTGCAACAAGATATCACCGATCATGTTTCTAAAGGTTGCAGTTATTCAGTGGAGGCTTGCGTTAGAGTTTCAGGTAACATTGTGGGATTTACAGATATCCAAGCCACACTCAGATTGGAGTACCAAAACCTGGGTGCTCAATGCCACTTCATTGCCAGGTATTATCTATATGCATGTGTATTCCTTTTTAATTTTTTTGGACAATATGCATGTGCATTCTTAATTTTTCATTATATTTAACAGATTTGATAACTCTGGTACCTATTTAAAAAATGGGGTATGATACTTACCATTTACATGATTTGTCCAACTCATTATATCATTTTTAATTTAGATTCAAATAATTCAACTGCTTCATTTTGATTGCTTCATGTGGAAAAAGATTACCTAGCTTAATGGTACCATAGAATCTACCTTTCATTTATTATCATTATTTATCATATACTATCGTATGTAAACCTTATGACGCATCATAGATACTTTTCTTCGTCGCAAATTAAATATGAACACTCTTCAACTCCACTACTTTCACTTGTTAGTTTTTGTGAATTCATGTTAATTGCTTTGTGGGAAATTTATCTATTATTCGTGTCTATAAATTTCATAAATACGGAGTATTCAATATATGACTAGCCAACTTAAGCCCGTCTCAATCTATATAATTACTAATTAAAATTTGAATTGAGAGAGTAATATCAAAATACATATTTAAGTACTCCGTATAAAACATCATTTATTTAGGAATATAAACTGTTTGTTCATATTTTTAACTAGACAAAGTACCCGTGCGATGCACGGGATGTATCTAGAATAGGATAAATATTTATTTAAAATATTAAGTATTATTTTATTGTGACGGTACGTAATGTGTATCTTTTTCAAAAAAAAAATCAAGATAGTTTATATGTCGTAGCTTTTATTATTATATAATAGTAGTTGTAAGAAAATTAAATTTTTGTTCTTATGAAAAATTGCAAGTAAAAATTAAAGTAAACAATAAGGTGTAACAATAAACTCTATATGATAATAGAATTAATAATGGAATAATTATTAGTGGGTCTCATAAAAGTATAAAACAGAAAAATCATAAATGTTCATACTTTACAAAAAGTATCATAAAATTTAAAAAACTTCTCATAGACCACATTATTAGTGGTGTTGATAGAGCACGATCCTCATCATCACATATAAAATCTTCAAGCCACTTTTTGAGTTGACCCGTGACATGGTAACGTAGAATTGATCGTGCGTAAAAATAGATTTTGAAAGATATATACTCATTTGATGCAGATATTGTATTTGACTTTTGTTTATCGTTTTGACAAATGAAATAACTATTGAAAAATGTGAAATCAAAACCTTTTGACCAATACTTTTAGATAATAGGACCAATGACGCATGACATTTTTCGATATCAAATAAAGCGCAAGGACCATCATGTTTGAAAGTTCATAAAAATACAAAGGAAAAGTGTATTTGTATTGCTAAGATGAATATAGTTCATTCATATATTAAAAATAGAATGCCAATAAGATATTGTTTATCCAAAAGCACTCAAAAAATGGAGAACATTAATTCATTGTAATTGTTGTGGTTTCAATTTAGCTCAAACAATTTACCACTTTTTTTTTTGCAAATAACAATTTACCACTTTGAATTACAAAGCGTTATTTCAAAGATATATAAATTAAGATCGTGATCTAATTTTGTAGTAAAATATAAGTAGTCACATTTGTATTAAAAATAAAGATTCCATTGTTTTGAAATTATAGTCATTAATGGTGTATTTTATGATATTTTTAATTCGATAATTTTTTTTGGTCTATTTGAATTTGGTCTTTTCTTATGGTAGCCATTTTTTGTATCGAGGTATGAGGCGTGGAAACTCTCCAATTGCACATGTATCGAAGTATGTGGCGTGGAAGCTCTCCAATTGCACATATTTTTTAAACAAATAAAGAGAAAATTATATAAAAAAAAATGGCTAAAATGGTCTTCTAACATCAACTTTAGGTAGTAACAATTATAATCTTACTTATTTAAATTATTACATGAAACCAAAAATACGTATTTAATAAAAAAAATATTAAGCGAATAAACATAAAATAGATGTTAACAAATAGATTTTAAATCCATTAAAAAAAATAGACTTTAAATCACTCATAAAAAATAGAAGCAAAATGTAACTGCCGTAATTAGGATGTTTTCTTTTGGACTGAAATTTGCTGGTCTGGTCTGGTCTGATCTGGTTTGGTCTGAACTGGTCTGGTCTGGTCTAGTAAACATCTGGTCTCTGTGTATTTTATAACTACAGAAGTCTGGTCTGATCTGGGACTGAAAACAGTCCCAAAGAAAACATCCTTAGTGTACATTTATACATGGAAATTGGACTTGCACTACTCTGTACGTATTTCATAGACGTATTATGAATAAAAATGGTTGTAATATTAATGCATTTTAATGAACAAAATATGGCCCATAATTTACTCCGCATATCTACTTCCAAGTTAGAAAACTTACCAAAACAATAACTTCCCGCAGTAATTTCCTCCGCATATATACTTCCAATTTAACAAACTTACCAAATCAATAACTTAGACACTAACGCATGGGCGGGAGATCAATTTATTTTTCACGTTCATTTCCCATAATGCCCTTATTTAGGGCGGCAAAATTTCCTCCAAAAGTAGTAGCAACTCTGCTACTTTATATAATATAAAGATTAGTAATCACCACATTCTTAGCAACAGTCCTATTAATTCTCTGTTACATTTACTTAGCTTTTGAGGGTTAACATCATAAACATATGTTGGCCTTAACCGAACAAATACTATAATAGGCTTAGAAAGATTTGTCAAAAAAACAAAAAAAAAACTATATACTCTCTCTGTCCCGAAATTATCTCCTCTTTTCCTTTTGACAAAGAATTTGTGGTTCATAATCATTCTTACTTATTTCTCTCTCCTTTGCACAACTTTCCACCAAACATTTCTCACTTTCTCAATAATCGTGCATGGTCAAAACCGAAAATAAATCTGGGACGGAGGGAGTAACAATAATTTATCCTTTAATTTCTTAATACTTGTGGTCAAACCAACATCCATGTTACGAATAGTGGGTATTAAGCTGATTCTTTAATTCTCTGACTACTTGCAGGAAACCTGTTTCCGCAAACAATTGGGAAATATTGAAAGGCACTTTTACCTTGTCTACTAAGCCGGATACGGTATTGTTTCTTCTTGAAGGGCCTTCTTGTGGAATAGACATTCTAGTAAAATCAGTCATAATATCATATGTCTTTCCATCCCTTGTTTTGTGATGTGAGGATGAACTGAACTCTTGATTTTCTGGTATTTGTTTGATGCTCTGGAGTAATTATAATGACTTTCTGATATGTTACAAATCAATGCATCCATGTGTTCTCCTATAGGTTATTGAAGTTATATTTAACGATATTTGTTAAGATCTCAGGTTCATCCTGTAAGGTCAACCTAATAGGAGGAGTAGACTAAATTCTTAAATAGTGTGTAATTATTTTATAGCTTTTTGGTGTGGGACAAATGCTTTAACACATCCTCTCAATCCGAACCGGGCTGGACAACATCGGGGTGTATAAACGGGCCAAATCAATGTAAACATTTTTGCAAAGTTAACATTTTTTGCCAAATGATGTTTAAATTAAATCATCTATATTGATAATTAGTTTAATTTTAGTATTTAAAATTTACATATTCAGAAATTACATTAAAATCTATGTAAAGTTTTAAAATTAAAATTAAAACTTAATTAAGAATTGATATCGTAATTAAGTGAATAAAGTGAATCTATTTGACCCAAAAAAATCTATTTTACATTCAATTTGAGATGGAGGAGTAATACTAAGGAGAAATTTTTGGAATTCCAGGCGCTGATCGCCGTTGACAGTGCCCTAAATCCGAGGAAATTCTAGGGGAACCTATTTTTTAAAAAAATTATACATCCCACCATGAATTAAAAGCAAAAAAACACATAATTCCATTTTACTCCTCTCGGAATTCCTAAATCCGACAAGCAGAACACCTATTTTTGTTTTAAGAAATTATACTTCCCACAATGAATTAAAATCTAAAAAATACATGCACCAATTAGAGTAAAAGCCAAAAATCCAAGTCGAGGCATATACGTGTTCAATTTCTTTAGATAAATTTCTTCACATAAATTTAATCAGATAAGTTTCTTTGGATAAATTTAATCAGATAAATGTAATCAGATAAATTTAATCAAATAAATTTTACACAGATAAATCTATTCAGATAAATTTAATCAGACAAGTTTCTTCAAATAAATTTAATCGGATAAATTTAACCGTAAATCTTAATCAGATAAATCTAATCAGATAAATTTCTTCAGATAAATTTAATCAGATAAAAACGAATGAGATAAATTAAAAGAGAAATTTAATAAATCAAAAGATTTCTTCAAATAAATTTAACCACATAAATTTTAACCAGATAAATCTAAATCACATAAATGCGTCGGGGTCCTCAAATTCTATTCGCATCAAGATTTCTCATTTTTGTGCCACCGCCGAATTATGGTTCTTATTAGTACTCTATACATAGTCGGATGCATATTTTGCCACTTATGAAGACACAATGAGGTTTTAGAACACTGGCGGCGGGGACATGCCAGGGTCGAGCATGCAACGTTACATGTAGTATTAAATTTATTATTGTATGTACATATTTATTTAGGAGTAATAAATTACATTAAAACAACATTTGTTTTGTTCACTTCCATTAAAATTGCAAATATTGCATTTTAAACAAAATCAAATTTATATTTCATTTTATGAATTTATTTCACAATACAGATGATGGATTAAAACATGAAACAAAGTTACCAATGTTTTGTTATTCAATAAATCAAACTGTATATTTTTCATTTTCAAAAATATCATGGTATTACTTTTACAATTTAGAAGTACAAATAAATAACCTTTCAAAAGTACAAATAAATAAATAAACTTATTAAAATGGTAAATGACCTTATTAAAAAAAGCTAGCCTCCATGGTCGGAACACTCAAATCTGACAGGGATAACTCTGGTCGGAACACCCAAATCCGACTCCCCCTTGTTTTTTAATATTAACTTTTCCCGTATATTGGGAAATCACCCCGGCTCCTAAATCCATCCCTAAAACCTACGTCGTATTTCCATTTTAAAAACATGTTTTCACGCACGGGGTTTTAGGTCCCCCACTCATGAGGTGTACTTTCGTCTTCCGATCCCGGCCTTTCATCTTCTATAGTTCGATCAACAGTTACGTTTTTGTCTTGATTGCGTTATTTGTTAATAGGCCAAGAATTCCAAAGGCTCTTTTTAGTTTTATGGATGAACCCCAGTCAATAAATACCTAAAATATATAAACACGTTTGTGACTCTAATCTCTTGGATCAATTACATCCATCCGGCCAAGATTTGGTAAAAAAAAAAGTGGTCAAAGAATGGATTGCTCCGGTCAAAGCAGTAATATCATCAAGAACCGCGACTTCAAAGATGGGTTACACGAATGGCGCCCAAATGGCTGCAAAGTTTTTGTGGTGAATCCAGCAGATAGTAGTAGTGGCTGTGCTTATGCTGTGATGACAAATAGAAAGGAGGCATGTCAAGGCATGGAGCAGGACATCACTGGCCGTGTCTCGAAAGGTTGCACTTATTCAATCCGCGCTTTTGTGACAGTCGCCGGAAAACATCCCGCCGGGATGGCTACTGCAGTTATGGCCACCCTCAGGCTTGTATACAAACATTCTGCCATGTGCTTTATTTGTATCGGAAGGTATACATATTTTAACAATCTTTAATTATTTTCGTTTGAAGTCTTCTTTTATTCGTTCCACTCCACATTATATATTTATACTAGTTATAGTAACGCGCTATGCGCGAGAGGATAATGCCCAATATCGGTGTTTGTCTAGAAAAAAGGTTTTCTCAATTAATCTTTCATCATCATCATCATTTTCTATTTAGAAAACAATGAAAATCAAAGAATAGAAAGTAAAACAAAAAACAAAAAGAAGGAAAGATCCAAACCAACCAACCCGATAAAAACCTTATATATACTTAACTTTTCTCTTTTCTCATTACACATATTTTAAAATTATAGAATTGATGCAACACTGATTATAGTTGAGGAGTATTTGAAATAATTGTGCTTCAGTTTTTTGCATTTTGATAGAAAGTTAGAATGCCAACACATTCCATTTGGATTTTCTTCCTACCATAGCATGCAGGTGTTGGAACAACACCTAGACATTTTCTCTTTACAGAGTTTTGTAGAGAGACACACTTAGCCAAAATTTCAAGAACAAAACCTACCAGCACTTTCCTTTTATTCGATACGTCTTCCTTTTTGGATTGTCCAAAGAATATGAACACTTTTCAAAACGAAACCCGTTAATTTTTTAGTTTCTCATTTCATCCCTTTATTTATCATTTCACTTTTTTACTTTTAGTGAACTCATCAATATTTTTCTTACTTTTGAGATTAGAATAGTAAAAGAAAAACTTCTCCTGTATTTTCTTAAAAGTCGTGTCAAACCTAGGTAATGGCGTAAGCAGGGCGAGATATTGGCTTGAGCCGGTATACATCATTTTTTGGACAATTTTTTACAAATTTGTTTTACCCTAATAATTTAATTAAAAATGAAATTTAGGGTGGGCTGGAACATTTGAAGATAATTTGGTATAACTGTTAACTAAAAGTGAATTCGAATGGGAGTAGATACATATGTTTTGTTTATTGCAATGAGAACGTAAACTCTGTGTACTTTTTGATACTTATTAACATAGACTTTTTATAGGTGACTTAAAACCTAAAACTACGTAGAAGCCACCTTCGAAAAAAATGTTATTGAAGTATATTAGTGAATGAATACCTTTTGTGCTGAATAGATTGTGAAATAGTTCCATGATTAAAAAATTGTACCCACACAATATAGACATGTAGTAATTATTACTCCCTCCGTCCCTAAAAGAACTTTCAATTTTCCCTTTTCGTCCGTCTCAAAAAGAACTTCACTTTCTCTTTTTGGCAAAGAATTTGTGGTTCACAGCATTTCTCTCTCCTCTGCACAACTCTCCACCACACAATTCCCACTTGAGTTTTTGCCATTTTTAGTCCTCCGACTATTATGTCACTGACACTTTTGGTACTTGACTTTGATCTTTTTCACTTTTAGTCCTTCGACTATTGTGCGAAAGACACTTTTGGTCCCTGTCTTTGAAATTTTCCATATTTAGTCCTCCGACTTTCATAAAGGTGACACTTTTGGTCTTTCAAATAATATAAGAGTGACATTTTTAGTCCTCTATTTATTGTGTCAAAATCATAGTGAAAAGACTAAAAGTGTCAATTTGATAATACTTAAGGGACTAAATGTGGAAAACTTTAAAGTCGGGGACTAAAAATGTCTATCACACAATAGTTGAGGACTAAAAATGGAATAATTGAAAGTTGAGTACCAAAAGTGTCACTGACACTAAAGTCGGTGGACCAAAAGTGGCAAAAACTCATTCCCACTTTCTTAATCGGCGTGCCACTTTATTTTGGAAGAATATTTAGGGACGGGGGTAGTAATTATTATTCAAGGGTAACAGGTAGCCTGTATGATTACACCAGTGAGAGTTCAATAAGATACTAACAGAACCACTTCAATATTGAAAACAAAAGACAATAAATGGAATTTAGGAAACAAATTAGATTCAGCAATATTAATCACAAATTAAAACTAAGGGAAAATCACACTTTTAGTCCCTGAAATAGTCACGAAAATGAAATGTCGGACCCGTATTTCTGATATTGTAAATGTCACCCCTCAATTGTCCAAAATGTTGTAATTGTGGTCCTTTAAGGGGTGAAATGTACTCTCGCCCACATTGTATATTTCACCCCTAAAAGGACCACATTTACAACATTTATGACAATTGACGGACGACATTTACAAACTTGGGAATACGGGTCCGACATTTCATTTTCGTGACTATTTCAAAGACTAAAAGTGCGATTTTCCCAAACTAAATTTGATTTGGTAATTAGGTCCGGAAAAAACATAAAAAGATATTTTATAGCCATAGAAAGGAAAAAAATAATTTTCAAAACTGTATCAATCGTGGTAAAAGGCAATTTACTCAAAATAGACTCGCAAAGTTAAAACAATTTATTCCAAATCCTGTATCAATCGTGGTATAGGCAAATAAAAAGCAAAATTTGTAATGTGTACAGCATTAAGTGAGAAACGATATGTCGGAGTATAAAAGAAGATGTGTACAAAAGGCAAAGTAAATGGAATTCAATTTAGATTTTTATCGAACATGTGAAAAGTGAAGGCATACCGGGATAAGAGTGATGAGCACCGGAAGAGTGATGGGTGAAACACATTTATAAACAGCAGTGAGGGACGATTAAAAGGTGTAAGAATCTCATCAATTGACACAATTTGAGCTTCATAACACATGGAAAGAAAGGAGGATTGCGAGGGATTTAGAGTGCTATATTGAATCACATCTTAAACGCCACCATCGTGATTAAAAGAAGGGAATTAGGGAAAGATGTCGAGTGAGAAAAGATAGTGCTGGTGTGAAGATGAAGGGAAAGAACTCAAGGAAGGCAGTGAGCTTGACGCCGGCATTCCTTGTAAGCCATAAGATGTGGGTTCTTAGTGGCAATTGGCATCTCTGTGACTCTATTCACCTCTAGCCTCTGGTGCGTAAAGGGAGACGGGAAACGGAGTGAGTCTAAGTGAGGTTGTACTGACGGAGTGATGGGCAAGCCGTTTAGTGACGCATAAATTAAGGAAGGGGTACAATCGCTTTGCCGTGTGGTACAAGGTCAAAAAGCTTTAAAGTTACACCAACAAATTTTGTATGCCAAAAATAACCTTACCTTCATTCATGTTTATAATTTTTTAGATTATTATAGGATCACTTTATTTATCATACTAAACCATGCATATACTTCTCCATTTAGAACAAGACACACAAACAATAACCATAAAATTCACTAAATAGCATTAAAACAAATAAAAATAAGATTCATAAATAGTACTATCCTAATTTTATTCGCAAAATATGACTTATTCACTACGATCGATTTTGACAAATTTTAATCAAATCATTTTCAATAGGTCTAAGTAAGATCTATTTGAGGATTAAAACACATTTTTCATATTTTTAATCACATACATAAAAGTAATTCAGGAGGAATGATCCTATATCAAAACTACACGACAGGATCCGCCGTATGATCGCCTATGTTTCAGGTGCTTCCTGTTTGATTATTTGATGAATTTTACATCAAAATTCAATCGAAAGTCAATTAAATAAATTATTGAAAAACATTACGTCAACACACACACATAATGAAATTTGGTGTTCATAATCTACACTTCATGAAAAACATTATTTCAAACTTTCATCCAAAAATTCTACGCAAAAACATCTCAAATAGAGGTTTCTATAGAGGTTTCATGAAAAACATTATTTCAAACTTTCATCCGTCCCTGCGTAATTCTTTTAATTTAATCATCATTCAAAAAACTTTTTCCGTAACTTCCAAACATATACTCGGTACAGTGTATGAAATAATCTTGAGTAATATCACATCCATCTCGTTTTATGTGTCTCATTTGATTTTGGAACAACTATTAATAAAGTGGTTTAAAATGAAAAAATTGTGATTGAAATTTGAGTATAATAAAGGGAATTGTTGTGGATCCACATATTTTTTTTCAAAAAAGGAAAAGGCAAGAGTTAATTCTCTTCATTCTCTTACGCACGTAGTTCACAAAAAAATCAAAGAAACCCTAATTAATATTGTTGTAAGTACTGCAGAAAGACCGTTTGGCCGAACTGTTGGGAAGCTCTCGAAGGCACGTTTTCTTTGTCCACAAATCCAGACCAAGTCGTCTTTTATCTCGAAGGCTCCGACGCCCGCGTAGACATACTCGTTAAATCTGTCACCATTTCACCTTCCTCTCTAGCCAGCGTATGTTGCTATTTCAGTTCTCCATGTGTAATTAACATGTGTTTCTATTTCGGTTTTGTTTTATTTTTGGGGAATTACTTTTTACGCAAAATTTATTTACTCTATTGCATGCATGCACACAGGATCAAAAGGAGAAAGAAGGGATTGAAAGGAAACGCGATCATGATCATATTCTTCAAGTTGCTAATAATATAATCTTTAACTATGACTTCAGTCAAGGATTCCTCAAATGGGAAACCAATGGTTGTCAAGGACACGTGGTTAAGGGAGATTCAGGAAGCTCATACGCTTTCATTACAAACCGCAGAACAAATTACCACGGCTTGCTGCAAGATATCACCAATCGTGTTTGTCAAGGTTGTCCTTATGCAGTGGAGGCTTGCGTTAGAGTTTCTGGTAACATTGTGGGATTGACAGATATCCAAGCCACACTAAGACTGGAGTACCAAAACTTGGATGCTCAACATCTCTTTATTGGAAGGTACCGTATCATCTACATATATGCATTGTTAATAAAGCTTTTTACTATGTACCTATAGCTAATACGAAATACTCTCTCCGTCCCAATTTGTAAGATACTTTATGGTTTACAATGTTTGACTGACAAATAAAGTACAATATGAAAAGTGATTTATATGTTGACCAAGTGATTAGTAAATGTATCTTACAATTTGGGATTGAAGGAGTATAAAAAGTTTTCATTTATTATCACTACTTTATCAAGTGAACCTTATGAGTTATGACACATCACAGATCATGCACGCGGTTATATACCTACTGCAATGCGAGTTTTTTTCTAGATTAATGTGAAATTAAAAATTATTCACAAAATTAAAGTTGAGTTAATAATATTTCCCAAACTAGCTCAATTCAACCATAGTTAACAAGGGCCGACTTTGTACGAGCTACTGGAATCAAAGAGCAATCCTAAATTAATAATGAGAAGCTACCAATCAAAATCAACAAAATTAGAAAACCCCTCTTGTTTTAAAATGACAATAACTTATTTATTTATTATCTGATTTTTATAAAAATTATATCAAAATTCAAAAATTTTTATTATCTTTCATATGACATCAATATTGCATATATAAAAAATAAATAAAATAAATATGAATATATGAGGGTGGAGACTTTTAGACTCAAGTCGTTACTCTAAAAAAGTTATTTTAACCCAACTTTTAGTGATGCAAACGAACAAAGCTAGGTAGTATATTGAGTTTGTTTGATATAATTAGTGGAAAAAATGTTTTCTAAGTTTTTTGAAAACTATTAACTTTTACTTACTGAAAATATCTTAAAAAGAAAGATGATAGATTTTTCATAAAAAATTGGTTGTTAGATTTAGTTCAGTTTTGGTGTATAAGTTGTTCTGACTAATTAATGCTAAAAGTTACTCACACTTTTATATGATGTTATAATATGTTCTAAAAATGTCTTTTCTTTTAAAAATAAATCTTAAAATAGTCGTGTCAAACATACAACTAATTTTTTTTTAATAATATACATAGTAAAAGATAAAAGGTATGGACTCATATACTATGTGAATGTTTCGTAACACAAGTCCATACCTTTTATTTTTTAATACGTATATTATTTAAAAAAACTTTTAGTTGTATGGTTCACACAACTATTTTTAAGAGAATAGACATTTTTGAGAATTTACCTATAGTAACATCAGGTAAAAGTGTGTAATGTTTAGCATTAATTAGTAGAACAGTTTATATACCAAAACTCAACTAAATCTAACAGCCAATTTTTTATGAAAAACCAATCATCTTTCTTTTCAAAATGTTTTCGGTAAGTAAAAGTTAATACGTAGTAGTTATTAAAAAGCTTAGAAAATATTTTTTTCAACTAATTATGTCAAACATACTCAATATACTACCTAGCTTTGTTCGTTTCCATCACTAAAAGTTGGGTTAAAATAATTTTTTTAGAGTAACGACTTAGAGCCTAAATATCTCCACCCTCATATATTCATATTTATTTTATTTATTTATTTTATATGCAATATTGATGTCATATGAAAGTTAATTTTTTATTGTCATTTAAAAAAAGGGGGGGTTTTCATATTTTGTTGATTTTGATTGGTAGCTGCCCATTATTAACTCCTACCGATGACAATGTTAGCATTGGAGCCCAAGATCTCCGAACGTTGAATTGTCGATCGGACGACCGGGGGGAAGCATGACACTCTACCTAACTCTAAAGTAAGGTAGAGGCTCCGGATCCGTTAGCATTGTTCTTTAATTTAAGACGCTCGCATAAAGTTGCCAACTGAGTTGGCGGCTCTTGTTAACTAGGGTTGAATTGGGCACTAGTTTGGGAAATATTATTAAACCAACCTTAATTTTGTAAATAGTTTTTTATTTAATATTAATCTCGAAAAAAACTCCTGCAATGCTCCATTCTTTTACTCCTCCGTCCCAAAATCAACTTCCCACTTTCCTTAAATGGATGTCCCAAAATTAACTTCACACTTCAATACTTTCCTATTTGGCAAATTATTTACATCAAAATAGTATCAAACAGCGTCCAAACAGTGTCAAACAGTGTTTAAATAGTGCAAAACAATGCACTATACAGTAAAGTCAAATTTATTTTCTTAGGCTCTGTTTGCAACCCCTTAATTTAAGTGATTGTGGCTTTTTTCTAAGAAAAAAGCACTTATTTTATCAAACACTACCAATTTTTACTTTCTCGGTTTTCGTGTAGAATCTACTTTTTACTTTTTCTATTACACAAAAAACACTTATTTTACCAAACACTAGTACACTACTAACTTTTACTACTAATCATTTTGTTCCAAAAAGTGCTTTTATTTAAGCACAAGCATTTGCAAACAAAGCTTTAATCTGTGTGATTGTCAAACTGTGAAGTTGTTTTTGGGACGGATGAAGTATTTTTGTACTACATAAGATACACTCCGTACTTTCTTAGAGAGTACAATGTACGGAGTATTTTATTTGGGTTAAGTTATTCTAAATTACATACTCCCTCCGTCCCTAAATTATCTTCAAACTTTCCTTTTTTCGTCTGACCCGAGATTATTTCACTTTCTCTTTTTGTTAAAGAATTTGTGATTCACAACAATTTTTACACATTTATTTCCTCTGCACAACTCTGCGTGCACCACACAATACACATGATCTTAATCCCCGTGTTGGGTCAAAAGGGGAGATAAAACAGGGACGGAGCCAGGGAGGGAGTATATATGAACGTTTATATATTTTGAATTTAATTTCATTGACTTTTAACTTTCTCACTGTATGTCCTTATTTGTCATTTTACTTTTTTGTTGTCGATTAAAATTGCAATTTTGGGAAATTGGTCTATATGAGTCAAAAGTCTAAATCGTTCATTAATTATCAATATAACCAATATGACAATATATGTGACTTACAAACTTTAAAATATGTCTCACTGATTCTCCACTTACGTGCAGGAAACCTGTTTCTCCAAACAATTGGGAAACAATAGAAGGCACTTTTACCTTGTCTACAAAATCGGATAGGGTATTGTTTCTTTTAGAAGGGCCTTCTGGTGGAGTAGACATTCTCGTAAAATCAGCCGTAATTTCATATGACTTTCCTTCCTATTTTATGTGAAGTTTGGACTTTCTCCTATTTGTTTGATACCATCCAATCCATATATTAATCCATGCATGCTGCTTTTGGAATTATAATAGTCCGTATAGACATTGTTTCGAATGTTTGCTATATACTCCCTTATTATATATATAGTCGATAATATATTTTTTATTTAGGATAGTATATACTCCCTCCGTCTCACTAACAATGGGACAAGAGGGAGTGACACGCAAATTAATAAAAAGTGGTGTATGTGGTTGAGATTGAATTGATAAAGTAAGAATATAATAAAGTAAGAATGATTTATAAATGCCACACAAACTTTATCAAATTTGGTATGAGATAAGTTTAGTGGAACGGACCGAAAATGTAAAATGAGACAATTTTAGGGGAAGTATATAACATTGAGACCAGAACACGGGTATGAGATAAAGTAGTAAAAGTTCATAACACGGGTATTGCTTATGTACTTGCCATTGAGACCCTATATGAGTTACAAATACCAGTGTGACTGTATGAGCCAAGTGTTATTCACAAGAGCCAAGTGTTATGACCCTATATGAGTTATGTACTTATGTGTGAACTAGATTCTCACCCGCGCTATGCGCGGATGAATATTTATCAATTTGTGATTAAGATGTCAATTATTAAAACGCAAAAAGAATTGAATACAAAATAAAGCGGTAAGTAATTATATTAAATGTTCGTAGTTAAAGAGAGATTAAGACAACGACGAAGACGGGCCAACGTAATATTTTTTTGGCAAAGGCAAATGTATCCAATAAAAAAGGTGAAAAATAATAAAAATATCCCAAACTTTGAAGGAGTGTGAAGTGAACACCCCAAACTTGCATATGTAATTTAAATACCCCAAACTTTATATAAAAAGTTATTTTTGCACCATTGTCATGTATTATTTCTTTTAAAAATGTAAATTTTTGGGGTTAATTGCATTATTTAAAATAGAAAATTAAAAATGTTGCAATTGCATAGATTGAGGGTGACATTATTTATTTTGCAATGGAAGTTTAGAATGTCATTGTTTCTTTATGAATTCCAAAATATTTTAAATTATGCAATTAACATCATAAATTTACATTTTTGAAAAAATTAATACTTGACTATGGTGCTAAAATAACTTTTTATACAAAGTTTGGGGCAATTAAATTACATATGCAAGTTTGGGGTGCTCATCTCACACCCCTTCAAAGTTTGGGGTATTTTTATTATTTTTCCCATAAAAAAGAGATATAACATTTCAAAGTACGAAGTGGTAAGTAAAACTGTAGAAGTTGCAACGTAAAGTTATACTACAAATTCCAAAAGATTTTTTTGTAAACAACATTAGTATTGTAAACAACATTAGTAGTATGGTCGACTTGTTTGCCATCCTCAATATAGATCAATATTTTCAAGCCTTTGCAATTGGTAACTCTATACGCTGCCACGTACAGTTGACCATGAGTGAAGACTGATCACAAAAATTCATCAAAAAAATCAATCAGGAAACACTTGACACGGGCTTGGTACCCGACTATTGCTTGATGGATATGGGTTGGCTAGGATGCTCGGGATGTACATCTTTCTCCCATACGGTGTATATTGGAGACCAACCCAAAAACATGTATAATTGGGTCATACACGTACAACCTAACCAATATTTCCTAATGCCAAACCCGGACACCCCCAAACTACGCTACAAACCGGAGTTCGAGGAGCCTCACTACCTATTCCCTCACGCCCTTCCACCACATCTCCAAGAACCCGACGCCCAAAACCCCCCCGAAGATCAAAATGACCAAGAACAACAAGCGCACCAAGAACCCGAGGATGCACCTCACCCCATGCTCGAATACAACCAAGCCCCACCACCCCCCGATTACTTCCAACAATTACTTGATGGGTTCGACAGAGTTACCAATGAAGTTGGTAAGTATCGGGAGGAACAACGGGCGGGATTTCAAAGACTAGAAGAGCAAAGGGCCGAAGACAACCGACGGTATGAAGAGGATCAACGTAGGTTCTATGGACCTATGTACTCTTACATGGCTCATCAAGGCCAATTCCACACCATGGCTCAACCACCACCACCACCCTCTTGGTATGACCCCACTCAATGGGGTAATTTTGGAGGATCTAGCTCCGGGGGTGGAGGTTTTGATGGCGGGGATGACGGCGGCGACACCCACATGGGCGATGGGAGCTATGGAGGAGGCTTTGGAGGCGGCTTCTACGGCGGAGAAGGCGGGCACTAGGGACCGTGCTTGATCTAGGTGTGGGGGAGGAGACTAATCATGGTATGTAATTTCATTTTCTACCCTTTACTACGCATGAATTTCTTTTACTCTTTGTACAAAAAAAAAATGGATAAATAAAAGAATTGAAATGCTAGTTAGGTTGAAAACCCAAGAATGGGCAATCTAAGCAAAAATGGCTTATAAAAAAAAATGAGTGAGTTTGGAAAGGATGGAAAAACAAAAAGAGATGCTAGGATGAAAACCTGAAAAGGCTCCTAGGCAAAATGAGAGATATGAGAGAAGTATTTGTTGTGTGCAAGAACTCATTTGATCTCTTGAGGAGAAAGAGGAGAAAGCAAAGAAGAAGAGGCAAGAAGATGGAGCATAGAAGATCATAAAACCCAAGAGAAAAATGTTGTGTGTAAAATCATTCTCTTATTTCTTGGTGGTCTTAGTTCCTTTCTTTCTTGAACTCATGGAATGATCTTAAACTGTTTTGAAACATTTGACTTTACTCGAGGACGAGTAAAGAACTAAGTGTGGGGGAGTTTGATACATGTGTAATTTCCATGTTTATGTTTGCATTTTTAGTTACTTTTTGTAGTTTAGCATTTTGGAAATTACACACTTTTGGTGTAATAGTTTAGTTGTTAAAATTCTTGTAAAAAGTTTAGATTAGGTTTATTCTGGGATCAAACAGGTCTACAAGCACTCAAAGGATAGTTGGTGAACCCCAAAAGTGGACAGAAGGTACAAAAATCACAAGACAAAAAGAGAATCCTGATTTTGGTCTATACTCGGTCGAGTATATATATATACTCGATCGGGTATCTGGTTGACATTTCAAATCGGATCGGATCCGAAAACAAAGGAACATGCAGGAGAAGATTTTCCCACGATCCAGTGTCTATACCCGATCGGGTATACCTCTATACTCGATCGGGTACAGCTATAAAAACTTCCCGAGTATTGATCGAGTATAGAGCAAATTCGATGTTCTACACACATACTCGATCGAGTACTCGACCTGCACCTCAAAAAGCCTATAAATATACCTCCTTTCCTTCACTTTTAGATCACCAATTCCTTTGTATTCTTAAGCTCAGTTTAGAATAGATTTTCTTTATATTTCTTTTAGCATGTTTAGTCTCCAAATGAGGAGCTAAACTTCCATTTCTTGGTTTTGCTCTTGAAGCTTGATTGATTATTAAAGTTGTGAGTTATTTTCTTACTTTCTCCTCTTGATTATTAATTCTTCCCCTAATCTCATTCTATATTAATGTTGGAGGGTTGCTAAGTGACGATTAGTTGACGTTCCAACATTGATTATTACTAGAAACGATCAACGAACCGATGGTTAATCGTTGATAGTTTCACAAGTAAGTAACTTCGGTTTGTTAATGCACGGTCGTGGTTAATAAACTTAAGAGGGATCAATTTTGTTGGTTAAACCGAAACCGTTGCGTTGAGGTTATCAATCTCAATTGATTTCATCAAGGAGTTAAAGAGGTTAAATGCTACTATTATATCGATATACGGCGTTGTTCTATATTTGATTAATAGTAAGGGTTATTAATGAACGGTCGTTGTTAATAACTACCCTCGATGAACTGGTTATACTCCGCAATTGAGTATTTGAGAGGGGATAAGTTATGGATATAACAATGATCGACTAAAATATATCAACAAGTGGAAAGTAGCAAGACCAAGTCCCTTTTATTCTTGAATTTAATCCCATATAACTCGTTCATCTTCGTGTTTAATTTAATTAAATCACTCAAACAATCAAAACCCCCCTTTATTTACTATTTACATAAAAAGAAAGTTATTCCTTTCCCTGTGGATACGAACTCTACTTCACCTATACTACGTATAAGTGTTGTATTGGATTTATTTTGAGTGCACTCACGACAAAGTGCACGTCACTTGGCTGTAACGGACTCCACATTTGACTGGACTGATGACATAAGTTCTTTAATAGTGAGTTTTTTTCCGTATTAATGCTAATTAATTAAGTATTTACGAAAATAGGGTTGAGTTAAAAGTATTTACGGATATACTGCTGGGCTTAACCCTGGTCGGGGTAAGTCGCCAAACCGTTGGGCGACTTACCCCCGACCAGGGTTAAGCCCAGCAGTATATCCGTAAATACTTTTAACTCAACCCTATTTTCGTAAATACTTAATTAATTAGCATTAATACGGAAAAGAACTCTAGTAATACCGTAATAATAATTTTGATGATAATAATAATACAAAACATATTAAATTATTGATGTTATAATCTTAACTACTCCGTATTAACTAACCCAATTAAATCCAACTCAACCCAATACCTTAAATTAAGACCTATCCAATAACCCAAACCTAACACTTCCTAAATAAATAACCTTTTACCCAGAAGCCTAATCATTTAACCATCAGCCTCTTCAACCGACCAGCGGTTCTTCTTCTTCTTCTCATCCAGCTAAACGGTCGCTCTTCTGTCTATGGCGAGTAATGTATCTTTTAGTCTTACCATCCCTCTCCATACATAATTGATACTACGCACTCAGTCTTTTGAGTATTGCGATTGTCGCCTTTAATGAGATAACATTGCTGTCTACACCGTCGGTCTAGCTGAATTATTATCCGATGTTGTCATTTTCCGACCATAATGTTTGGGTACCACGGCTGTGTGATAATCGAGGATCTCAGATCAAGCATATTGTTTCGTCTGTTTGGTATATCCAATTCTGTCACACTGCATATATTACATTTTCTTTACACACGGTTCTTTAAGTAACCGCATAAGCAGTTGCATATAATTTAGGTTCAAATATGATATGTTTATCTAA